TAAACCAAATCGTGACTCAAAATATTGAAATATTCCGAGCTCGAATAGCTTACGTCGGTACCACTGCAAGGGATGTAATAATTCAATAAATGAAGAACTTAAAAAAAAAACACTGTAATTATAGAGAACATATTATGTACAACAGAAGTCATAAGATGACATATTAATAACTTGGCGATAGCGAGTTTTCTTTTTCATAATACTCTGAAAAGCAAAAAAAAATATTAATTATACGGACGGTGTACTGTCATTCGTGAAATACATGTCAAATTACTTGTTGGAAATTAACCTACCGAGGAATTCATTCACGTAATCTGTGTCCTTTCCCCCTTTCAAACCATCACTGATATCTGGATGGACAACCAGAGGATGTAATGCATTCATGAAGAACGTTGCATAAGGTTGTCCCGCCACTTTTAGGACCTAGGGTATGACAGAAATGAAGAAAAATGGGACTCGAAAATGCAGAATTAGTGAATATTCATCATATCAACAGCATGTACAAGATAATAAACCTATGAAACTAATGTAGCTTAAAGTCTGATTAGCTTAGAAATTAAGTTGATAGTATAAAAGGACTGATGTCCCTATAGTCAAGATCCTCAGTAAACAAAAATCCTCAAACTCAGATAAACTCCTATTTCAAGACAATGTCAATACTACATCTTACGTGAAAACTTTATTATTATTTATCATTATTAATGGCTTTACTCAGTATTATATATTTAGTAAAATATGGGATTGTCAACACACTATTTCCGTAAGTTACTCTCATAAAAACAATCGATAACTGCATATATGTACACATGAAATAATTAAATCAACTACCTGGAATTAGACGAAGTGCTTTTAAGAAGATACGAATCTAGACAACTTTTGGGAACATGTTCAACAATATAAGCTTTGACTAATTCAGCTCTTACAACTTGCTCGTCACATAGTTTATTTGCTGGACAATGTACATTTGGTTACATGCATGGATTCTAATGTACTTCGGTCTTGTTCTACCAGAAGATAAACAACGTGAAAGATGTGAGTCGAGCGGATGGTCAGTGTCTGGTGAGACAACACTTGCCAGGAGTTTGCAAAATTTTATATATCTATCCACAACCATATTAATAATGACTTCAAAAGATTCGCCACACACCCTGCTAACTGTCCTCAGCACTCTCCGCAATACAGCAAAATCTTTTCTCAAAAGCCCGGGAAAGAATAATACAAAAATTCAAAAAAAGTAGAAGTATTTATCGAATAATCTCAAAAGTATGTAGCCTCTTTATATAATAAGTCAGACATAACTTGCTTCGATATCAATAAGGTATGATAAGACCAAGAAAGGTAAGAGGAAAGACTTATACAAAGGTAAGTAACCTTTAACATTCTTTTTATCACAGAATCTCCAATAGTATAAACTTCATTTGATTCCCAAAAAGTGTTTAAGTGCTGCTCATGTCCCAGGTCAAAATAAACAGTTTGACATCTAGAAGGGCTAAGTGTGAGACTTTTGTGGCCCGAGATCTGACTCCAATTAGATCGTATGATTGGTTGCTATTGAAATATATACATATCTTCAATTCTCGTGTAAAATTATCGACTTAACTTGCGTTGGTGAATAACGGAATTAAATAAGTCAAATACGAGGATGAATTTCGAATACGTATGTTTTGTACACTCGTTTATTGGAAAGCGAAGCAAAACAAAATGACGAGCGATGGAGAAGGCGGATAAGCCAACTCGATTTAACCAAGCGTCAATCAATATTTATAATCACACAAAAATAAGTTACGGACATGTGATGAGTAGGACAAGATGTACACACATGCGCTCATATAAAAATAGTCAAGGTTGATAATTAACAAGGTCAAAACGTAACTGAAGAATAATGGATAAAGTGGCCTGTCCAAAATCTAGAATAAGTTGTGTGGGCTTAACACAGTAACCGACACTACAAAGCATTAACAAAAAACAGTCTTTCAATGAGCGAATAGGACTCATTCATTTCAAAGGGATGTAGAGGCAGAAATCAATGCGCAGACAGTGAGACCATCCGCATCCTTAACAGGTGTTTTCTGTAAAAGATGGCAGATCATGCAAAAGGGTGGAAAAACAGCTCCGTGTATCACACCTTGAGTTAGCAGAGACGTTAAGCTCTTTCTTACCAATGCCCTGGTAAGGCCGAGAGTAGGGAGAGTCCACTCTCCCTCTCCGAACGCTCTCACATGGCCACGCGTATATAACCTCTGCCAGGGAAGTCCTACTCACTGCCTTCTCGTGGCGGAGGTGTTGGTTACGAAATTGAGAGGACGAAAAGCGAATGTCCGGCGCTTTAACCGGGTTGGTGGATATAGAAGATCCGCATAGGGGAGTTGGAAAACCCTGATTCCAAGCCAATGGTGCAGATGGGCTCCAGGATCCTGAGGGAACAAATGGCGTATAAACCAATTGTTGGTCACCGACTACCATGGGACTGCATCTCCTTACGATGCTCCACTGCCTTGTGGATCAGACCCTCAAGTTAAAGGCTGGGGGTGTGGCCCCCTAAGAAAACCACCTGATTCGGTTTGATTTAGGATTTCATCAGGTCCTAAACATTGAAACGAGCTAAGTGACTGGAGACACTTTCAGACATCAGTTTCAGTAAAAATTGAAACACAACTCTTCTTCAAACTTTTGGATATAAGAAGTATGATACCAGATGATTGACGTGCAAAAGACTTATTTAAATAGCATTCACCTGGGTATCCTAACAAAACTTTCCAGTGAGTAGGTAGTTTCTTTTTACACGTAGCGTATATGATAAAACCAGTTGATCAACAGAAATTTAGTTATCCCAGTATAGTTTATATCAAATAAGCCATCCGTCCATTAAAATATGATTGAACCAGGGATATGGATAATGCACAGCAGTACATTAATAATTACTGGATGGTATTTCGACAAGTTTATTATTTGCACTTCAGACAAAATGGCTGATCATTGTGATATGAATAAGGATAATGAATCATATAGATCTTGTCTAGTAAACAGATAAATGAAATAGCATGAAACTGAACACTATCCTAGAGCCCCTAGTTTTAACTTTTATGCTACACGTCACTTCAAAGGAAGTGATCGGGTTACAAAACCGAAACTAAGATTAGGTTAATATGCGTATTCGAACTAGCGAACCTAATAATAATAACAATATAGTACGTACAAATGTGTGAATGGATTTTATGTTGAAACATACATTCTTCCTCTTTAATGTCTCATATTAACTCGGCGCCCAAATATTGTGAAACTATTCGTTCAAATTTAGACGAAAGTTCTTATTTATGCAACTAGTAGGTTTTGGAAAAGAATCACAAAAAGAAATTTTTTGAATTACATGGATAAGTCTATATGAAACACTATGTATAAATAAATTTACATGGTACATTAATTTCCGACAACTTTAAGAGGATATAAAACGTAAACAATCTAAATTCGGTCAAAAATTTAGGTTTGTTTCTGATAAAGTATGAAATGACTTGTTAATGAAAATTGGTAAATTATTTTATAACACTCCAAATCTGTAGCAAAAACTGAAGGACCAGTACATGATTTAGTATTCTAATTATAGTTTATTTCAATAGGTAATAATATAGTCGTTTATTTAGTAATATTAAATATTGCGAATTGTTTTCGGAAATATGATTAAAGAATTTATTTACAATAAATGCTCCTCTCAAATCGTTCTGTTTACATTGATATGATTTAGAATTGTTATACAATAAATTTGTACCAAATAAATTGGAGTATTGTGAAACTCCCTATAATTCATGTAATCATCAAGTTTTATAGTTGCGGAATGCATTGATTATTTAATAATACTTTCGCTCACTGTGCTGGATTTTTGTGCCGTCCCAGGATAAATAGGACCGCATTAGTGCATGTCAAGTTAAAATATCGCTACGAAATTTACAGTATTTGATTGGATAAAATTAAACAGAACAGTCTGTAAAAGTAATTAAATGCAATTTATAAAATGTTATAATTAAGAACAGGCACACTATCTGTTAATCTTGACATAATTTTAACGATTTAGTAATTAGTTTTTATTAAGCGGCATTATTAATTGCAACAGCAGTATAGGACTTACACCACTAATGGTGACTTAATAAGGTGTCTGAAATTATTTAAACAATCTGATGAAAACAGTCGTTGTCATTGCAGTTATCTAGAAACCGAGGTTAGTATGAGACGTAATGTAGTATACCGCTACACATATATTTATTATTTAGTAAATATAGCCGACATTTATGTAAGTAATTTGATATCGCTCCAAGCAATTTAGCAGTTGTTACTAGTTTATAAACCGATTGCGTTTACGGTTGGCTCCCATTTTCTTTGATATAGCTAAAAATATGACGGGCTTAGGAAATTAAAACAGAAGTCATACACATATATTTATTTATTCTTGACATAAAACGTTTTTATCAATCTAATGTATAGAATCCATTTCCACAGCACGATGTGATGGCATGCAATAGATGAATAAGTATTATTATCATTCAGAATGGGTTTTGTGGAGAGTTTTAGAAAGTTCACAGGTTGAAATCATGAGTCAATTGAAGCTAGATCACCATGGAAAACCTGGAATCACTGGACGGCCGTTTCGTCCTAGTACGGGACTCCTCAGCAATGCGCATCCACGATCCCGCACCCAGCGGGACTCGAACCCAGGACCTGCTGGGTTCGCGCGCGAGCACTTAACCACTAGTGAGGAGCCGTTACCAGTGGAGTTCAACCAGGTCTGTTGTGAGATAACAACTTACTGAAGACAATGGTGTACGGTGGCGCAACTTCATGGATTGGTTGAAGTTAGACATTAACACCGTTGGATGCCGGCTCAGTGGTCTAGTGGTTAAGTGCTCGCGCGCGAAACCAGTAGGTCCTGGGTTCGAGTCCCGCTGGGTGCGGGATCGTGGATGCGCACTACTGAGGAGTCCCATACTAGGACGAAACGGCCGTCCAGTGCTTCCAGGTTTTCCATGGTGGTCTATCTTCAATTGACTCATGATATTATCATTCACCAAATAAACTGACAGCGAGATATCTTGAATGGCTTAGTTGATCTGTCTAAACAGATATATAAATGGTTTTACCTAACTGACACGATTTCATAGGAATCAAATGGACACGAAACAGCGAAAGTCTGCCATTTAGTTGGAAAACTCACAAAGTTCAGGTTTACTCAGTTGATTTCCAGACATATTTTTGCGTGAGAGGTAGTGATATTATCAATTCGCCAATGGCGAGCTAAACAGAGAGGGGTATGAACCTGAGGTCTAATCATTGAAAACCGTGTGCTTCAACTACAAAGCCACAGTCCCATTGTCAATAATATAACCCGAAACAGACCTCGTAGAAGCAAGCCAAGGAGGTATATCACCTAAGTGATAACCAGCAAGGTTTATGGTTGACTCATGTGTATGGTAACATTTTATATGTATATGAATGCTAGTTATTTTTATTCTAGTAAATTTTCTAACTCAATAAATTGTCATTCACTAACATGTACTGTTTCATTCGACATCATTATAGACTTAACAGCTGAGCGATTGCTAATAGTCTCACAAGCGTCTATATTCATCGTTATTAACTGAAATATTCTTAACAATTCACAATTTTACGCCAATTCTAATTTTGGTAATTCCTTCAGTTACGAAACCACACAATATGGGTTTAAAAGGGTAATTATTAAACGATTATGGTGATAAAAATCAGGCACGATTTCTGATAGGTGTACATAATTACTATCTGTTGAATTAATGTTTTACTCAAGTTAACACCTAGTTTTATAGGATTTTGTCCTACTTGTTAGCGAGCTCAATTGAGGAAAATTGTCAGTGGTAACACTAAGATAAAAATCGGTTAACATATTACGAGCTTAGAGGCTACCTTTTTAAGTTTAATACTAAGGCTAATAACAGACGATTATGAAAATTGAAAACAAAAGCTTTGATTGAGATCTCCACAACCCTATACTGATAACAAAACTTTTCTTGATTTGCAAACTGTTTGTTTCCTGGTTATCCAACATGAATTTAAGTGTTCATCTCAAATAGATAAGTATATGGTGAACGCAGTAATAACCTATCAATATTCATAATATAAAATCAAAAAACATGTCACGTACTTCTGTAACAAAATGGCGAACAATAGAAACATCAACACGATTGCGTAAAAACAGTCTATGCATTGTGTTTATTACAGGAAGTACATGGCCACATGATAGTAAATGAACAAGTAATCCGACCAACATTCGTTTGTATTCTAACTGTAAAATATAAACGTTCAGGTAGTTAAATTATTATTTTTAAAAAGTGAGTATTTTGTACCTAATAAAATAGGTCTTACTGACAGAGAGAAGCGAAATAGGAAAAAATTAATGAAATAAAATATGCTCGTGGTAAATATAAACATACACAAAGTAAGTATTTAAATCCTTCCGGAAAGTAAAAGGTGAACAGCAAAACGTCGTGTAAAACGCTGCTAAAGGTGATTGCTGTACAGTAAGATATCAACTTTGTGAATAGTTTATATGAGAAAGGAGGAAGATAAACAACTTAATTGTATGTAAATATTAAGTTATTGAATGCTAGTTCAACTGATCCAAGCATTTGGAACGACATCTTTCATATTTATTTAGAATGTTCTTGTAATCGATTATTGGTTTGTAAATAAATTTTCATCAAACAGTCTTGGATTTTTTATTGGATTGAGTCTGACTAATCTTGTTTCGTTGAACAAGTAGCAGGAAGGAGTTTATGTTACAGCAATATCATTAGGATTTTTTGATAAGACGTAACAGTTTACATCATGGACTGACTTCAGATAGAAAACCACTAAGAACCAACGAACACCGAACGATATTTTCGTTCTAGTATGAGATTTCTCAGCAGTGAATACCTACGACCCGACTGGGGAACAAACTTAGGACCATTATATCCAACAGTAAGTTTATTACCTTCAGATTACTAAAGTTGAAGTTCGATGGTTAACACTTTCAGCTTCAGATGGTTCGCGATATTATATGACCGCCATCCATTACGATCGGTAGTACCTGTCTAACACCAGAAATGATTGAACTTCATCAATCACAGCTCCTCACTAAAGTTTTGAAAATTCACCTGTAATTTATTCATCAGTATATTTTCTGAGTTTTAATGTCTGTTTAATCAAGTTCAATCCATGGTGTAAAGTTATCCGCAAAGTGAACGATTTCCACAAACCATGGGGCTAAGAACGATAAACGTTGTTTAAATCGAAGAAAATAAAAATATAAGATACAGTAATGAAGATAATTTGAAAGCGAACTCATGAAGGAGGAGCGTTTAACAGAAGATGCCTCGACCCTACCTGACTCAAGTCTTCCATTCCTTCAACTGAAGAAGCCAGTAATTCTGTGATAAATGCTAAGAGAGCTGGACGTAAATATTCATTGACCTCAGCCAATTCATTCACTACTATACAGTAAGGTTTCATGGTGTCCATATTTAATTCGAAATCAACGCGTTTCGTGTGAAAAACGACCCGAACGAAACGAAATACACCAAGTGAAACAGGTCGACATGATAAACATCTCAAAAGCGATGGAAGGTCTCGGAAAGCACGTAAACTAATTCCACTGCCAGACATATTGTTCCACTGAAATAAAAAATGAAAGGTTATTGTATGTGTATCGTATATGTAAACTGAATTGCAAAACGGTAATTACATTGAGTAGGAACTAGGATGAATGTCAAAGTGAATTATTCTGGTCTTTTTCTGTCACTTTACGGTGAAGCCTACTTAGTCTTTCGTATGGACAGAACCATAAATCATAACAACTTGAAAAAGATTTTTCATAGCCAATAAAGTTATAAAAATATTAACTTTGACACATGATTACAAGAACACAATTGTTTTGCGTAGGGTGGACAATGAATTCCCAGTCGATTAGTAAATAAAGTCTTAAGAAACCAAGTGCTTTATTGCAAAGACGGTCAGGACCGTACAATTGATTCGATTTAACAGTTTTATGGGTAATTCAGGCCTTTCTAAATTTAAGCATGCGTTAGATTAACTCACTTCTAGCGACACTAAGACGAAAGGTACTATATATGCTCAATGGAATTTGAAATAAACCATGAGTTATGCCGCCCTTAGGATGCATAAATTTAGCAGTACTATTCGCTATCCATAACCAATTAAATGTCTGTGTAACAGGTTAATGGTCATAGCTAGTGGAACATAGCAATAACTTTTTTAATCACTCATTGTGTTATTGCAGTGAGACTGCTGAATAGTTTTCAGATAAGAGAAATTTTAGTTGACTGACTGAATATATGCAGGAGAATGAAAACTGTCACTGACATAGTTGATGCAGTTACTTTTACTCTTTTTTTGATCATTGATTTTTTCCGTGATGATTTTAAGCACTGAAAAATTTGTTAGGTTGTTTTAGTCTACTTGTGTTCCGTTTATTTGCAGCGCTATTTTATGCAAAGAAGCTGTTGATGATACTCATGTACAAAGTGATTCTCAAGTATATTTACATGTAAACGACACTATTGTAGGACTAAAAGTGAAGCGAACCAGTTTCAAATAAGTGACACAATCGCGATAACCAACACGCATAAGATAATAAATTAAACCAACGTAATCACCAGAAAATAGGGAGCATAAAATATGAGAAAAATTGCTGAATATCGTCGACAGGTTACTGGTACGTACTTGTCTACAAATTCGACTTGCTTCTAAAACTTCACGTTTTGCTTCATCAACTTCAGTACGTATACATGAGATACGTCTTTCAGTAGTAGGTTCAATCTCTTCAACGACCACTGCAGCATAGCTGTAAAGGTATGCATATTGCTCTAATTGTTCAGTTAACAATCTATCAGAACTTGCAAATAATGCATCTGCTAGAAGTGCTGGTACATAAAAATAAGATGATTATTGTGAAATTTATTACCACTGGTTAACACATAAATAAAATTTTTTGAAATGCTATAAATCGTCTTTTGCACATATACACATAGGCTCATTAATTTAAGAAATAACGATCTTCGATTACGTTCACTGATAAGAAAATTGCTCATCCAACTAAGGATATGAAATATCATGCAGCAATTTATTTCTGACGAACAACTTACGGAAGGATATGCTACAAAATATCCGTCACAAGTGTCAGTTCAAGCCCCGCTAATCAATTAAACACAGAGAGAAAACTAGTATACAAAAACACTCTCAATCGAATTCTTGCATAAATTTACCATCAACTAACTGACAACAACTCAAATAACTTGGTATTTCTTTATTGTACTGAAAATATATTCTTGCTACACATGTGATTTTGTATGCATAGATCTTAGCAAGTTCAGTCAACATCTACATAGTTTAAATCATAAAGTATTACAGTGTTGTGGATAAATAAGACTATTTTATTTTGTTGTAACACATGAAACACTTACTAATTGTACCTTATATGACAACGAAATGTTTAGTACTGGTATTTTTTTCTACAAGTGTAGTATGCTTAAACAAATGAAGTCATACTTGACAAAAGAACACAAATTAAACTACCCTACCAACTGGAGTGTTAAGGGTCATAAGAAAGATGATGTATTTTAAAAAAGGATTTTGCTTGTATTATTTCTATAATTCAGTTAACAGTTAGCTCCCAGCAGTAATATCAACAAAATAAAAAGTGCTTGTTACAGAAAAGCAAATCAGGGTAAATGTGAACAAGAATGGGCATATCTTCCGTCTATCATAAACAAATAATGATAACAGGGACACTTATGTTCAGTAGATAATAAAAAACTCGTATAATATTACACATAGTATCAGGCTACTTATCTAAACAGAATTATTTAGTAAAATACATCATTTGACTTCTTAAGGATTGATTTTGTAGTACTAAAAAACTCGCTGCTTTGTAGTCCGCAACAAATATACTGTTTTTATACAAACGCTGATAAAATGTAGACCTAAAAAACCTCAATAACCCATATGAAAGTATCCAGAGAGTATTTCTCTTACTACCAAAGCAAAATGTTGTTTCAGAACTGGCTTAAGTCATGCCTACAGAAGTAGTTGAGCATGTCGATTGTGTTGGGAGTTTCATCAGTCTGTCTGGAAGAACTTAGGGATGGATACAGAAACCTAGTGTCTCAGTGTGATGTCTATCTGAGTACAAGTACTCTCTGTATTACTTCATAGTTGGAACATAAGACCTTTGAAGGCAGACGATATAAATCAAATGCAAGTAGTTGGTCGTAAATGTCTTCGAAGCACCGTTAGGTTTAAAATGTTACAACAGGTTGTAAATCATCCGACAAAATAGTGGATATTCTTTGAGTTATCTGTCAAAATACCCACTCGTGACCATTGTACAACCCTATGAGCTAAACTGGTTAGAAAAACTCTAAAGACGACCAAGCCAACACATAACACCACCCCAATAAGTTACTGATGGTCTAGTTGCCTAGATGAACATTGTGACTAAGGTTTCTAAAGTTGAACTATCTATGTTAACCGATGGTATTGATAAGCAGTCTAAATTATGGTACACGAAGTATGGTTTAAGTGTTCGCCCCGTAAACACAAGATCATCTTATCTGATTTTTATTAGAAATAAATGGTTAAATCGCTTCTATCGACAGTTAATGTTACCCATACAGTTTCGTATTTGATAGGCTCTAACTTAGTTTCACAAGACACACAAGGTGGTTTGGTATTGGCAAAGTTATAGGATTGTATGTAAATCCCAAACTTGACTTTTAAAAAATAAGCTCCAATCGAAGCTTCAAGTGGCAAATTAAAGCATACTTACCAATGAAAATGGGTTGTCGTAACAAAGCTACTGGTGGGGAGGCATCTCCTTTATATGCTTCCTCAAGCTGAAAAAATAATGAGAAGTGTTTATTAAATAGTTTTGTAAGATATGAATGGTAGACTTGTTTTGTATGTGTTCTCAGTGATGTTTTTTTCTATTTATTTTATTTGGACACATGAATATTGGTACAAGAGGGCACCAAATATGTATGCGCCACACATTTTCATTACCATTATATTTGTGTGTGGGCTATGGTACTGCTCGGGTGCCCAGACCGAAGCAGGTGGTTATCTTAGGGGGCCACACCCCGAGCCCTTGACCTAAAGGTCTAACCCACAAGGCAGTGGAGCATCGTGAGGAGATGCAGTCCCATGGTAGCCGGTGACCAAAAATTGGTTCATACGCCGTTTGTTCCCGCAGGATACTGGAGCCCATGTGCACCATTGGTTTGGGATCCGGTTAAAGCGCCGAACATTCGCTTTTCATGCTCTCATTTTCGTAAACAACACCCCCGCCACGAGAAGGCAATGAGTAGGACTTCCTTGGCAGAGGCTGTATACGCGTGGCCATGTGAGAGTATTTCGAGAGGGAGGGCGGGCCCACCCCACTCTCGGCCATACCAGGGCATTTGGGGGCTTTGATAGGACGAAAGCCATATAAATAAATACCTCTTAAACTTGCCACCGCTTATTACTTTATGGAAGTAAAGCATGGTCTCTGAAAGTAAAGGACACGCGGGAGGTTTTTGATTTGTTTCTGAAGCATTGTTTGTGTTTCGTGAAACAAATGAGTCAAGAATGTTGAGTTTAGGCATAAGCTACTACGCAAAAATGCCAAATCAGTTTATTAGGATGCAAATTTTTGATGGTTGAGGTAGCAAGGAGGGTATCCCACCAAAAGGGTGACTTAAAAATGGTGGGCGGTTGTCAAAAGAGCGCATATTAATAGAGGTGAGCTCCGACAGGGGGAATAACATTTTACAGGATGTGAAATATGTTCGATTTACCTTCGATCCCTTTGCCTCTATAACCAATCAAAAATGCAGTTTTCTAAACGTTTAATGAAGGGTCTACTTTTAACAAATACTTTAGTTCTTCGAATTTAGTAACAATTTGTTATTCTTATTATTCCAGTGATGTTATCTCGCACATCTATTTTGAACAGCTAGGGGGTCGATAGTCTTTTAAGAGATGTTTCTAAAATGCTTGAGAAATGTTTGGTGATTTTCGCGTTGAGATTGAGTTTTAAATGCTTAAAACGAATCTATTTTAGAATCAAGAAATTAATTTAAGACATTCTTCATTACTTGTATTCTCAAAAACATCTATTATGAAAAATATTAACCGAAAAATAGAGGAAAGCAACGCACTATTAAGTAAATAATCTTGAGCATAACACTCATATGCAGGAATTCGCAATGGATATTGAAACATTAGGTCCATCGGAAATCCGCTAAATGATGAAAACATGTGACTGGGCTGGAAAGAACTTTCATTCCTAGAGAATGAGACATACCATTGGTCACTTAATTTCCCAAGATATATATATATCGATTACTTCTTGATCTTTGCAACGAAGTAGCCCGTTGGGCTAGTGTATAAGAAGACTGAGTATCGGTGTCAACTCACGGATAACGCTCGTTACAACATATATAGTTGTTCATTCGTAGGTATCAGTTTACAAAGAATACAAATCCGCCTAATGCATATGAAGCTTTCTCTGTTCATAATCAACCGTCATAAGTAAACAACGTAATTAGTGTCTATCCCTTCAGTTCCGTTATATCTGTTCTACAAGAAAACTCTGACGCATTATGTAATATATTCTTTGCGATACTAAGCGTTTAATGGTACAAACGGACGAATCCCATTAAAATTCGGAAAGAAGTTTACACTTTCAAAGGAGTAGAGCTACCAAACTTGATGGAAATTATTTAGGAGTTCAAAATCCGGCTTTCAGTACCCGTTATTTATTACAATTTATTACAAATTTCTAGATTAATATTGAACTTTATGATTTACTCTTGTAAACTATCACTTATCTGGGTGAATTGTAAAAACCTTTGAAAGGATATCTACAGGCGATAATATAGAATTTATAAAAGATGACTAACCAGCAAAACTGCATCCGGAATTAAATCCTGTTCTTTAAGGATGATACGCATCGCATCCATGCTATCAGGATAATCTCGGGCACCACAGAGATACGTTGTGTACCGACTCACGTCACGGCCCCTGGATCGAATATGTAATTATTAAAAGGTAAACGTAGTCCGAAAAACAAGCGAAACACAAAAGGAAATGAGGGATATCACATATACGGAGAATATTCAAATGACTAGTTGTATAAGTGTGGAACTCACAGGTCCATGATATACAAAACCCAGTTAATTTATCTTATTAGATTTTCTATGCGAAATAAAGCTACATATATTTACTTCGAGCTTAAAACCATTGTTTTAATCAAGCATCAAAAATGCACTGTACAAAACGAGATGACAGTTTTGTGAATAAATTAGAACGGAAAAATTACATAATAATGACAAGAACATTTCAAAATGCGATTCAAGGAAAACCAAAATGATATCCACTAGCTTTCGTCGTGAGCTGATATTTAAGCCACCAAGCTATCCAATCTCTACGAACTTATCCAGACAGCTTTGATAGTCCCATCACAGATATTTTTCATTTTAAAGCATTATGTTATAAATTGACTACCACCAAAAATTTTTAAAGATTCTCAAAATTAGCAAACGGTTCCCACTATAGAATTTTCTGTAAGTTCTTCACTAAAAAAGGATCCAACAAATCAAAGCCACTTTTTTAGGATGAGATTACCGATTGGTTGACGATGCATGTTATATTCCAACACATGTTGTAAGATATTTGTATTAACTAAACAAAGAAGCCAACAAAATAGAGAAATTTCTTGGGAAAGCTTAAATTAAACAGGGAGCCAGTGAGTATTTTAAATTCAAAGAGACTAGATTTAAAAGCATACAGTAAAGTTTTTTTACAGTAGTTGTACCTCTGTTCATTTCTGACCATACTAACTTGCGTCAATGTCAAAGGCGGCCCAGATCAACAAACACTACAAAATAACCCGACAGATGATAAACCAGGAACAATACAGATATGAGTATAAACTAAGAAAAATATTGAATACGTACATCTAGTACAACACTGCCTGTAGCTCTTTTAAGGTTACTGCCGGTCCCAAGCCCACACATTGGAGGAGGGTTGGGAATGCGGTCAGCAACCCCAACCCGTAGGAAACAACCTTGCTAACAAAGCTAACCAGAATAAACAATTTAAACCATCTAAATTCTGCCCTCCGAGTTGAAGGATCTTCATTCAGTAGAGTTATGACGCCTCATGGTGAAAGCTGAGATTCTTTGGAGGTCATGAGGAGCATGCTCCTTCTAACAACCACAGCAACAATTAATACAGATACATGGAATGTTCAGACAATATGGCAGACCGGGAGGACCAGTTAAATGGCTACGGAAATGAGAAGACACAACTTGAATGTTCTCAGAATCATTGAAGTCCGTTGAACTCAATCTGGAAAGAAAAGAAGAAATTCAGGAGAAATGCTGTTGTACTCTGCTCACGAAAAAAAATGCTGCAATCAGTCACAGAGAAGTGATCAGGAAAAGACCTGAACATCTTGAAGAGGGACCTAAACGTCAAAGTCAGAATAGACAACATCGGGTATGAGGATATCATATGAGGATATGGACTAGGAGATATGAAGGAGAATGGCAAGAGCTTTGCAAATCTATCTGGATTCAACAAGTTGGTTATGGAGGCACAATATTTTCACACAATCGCATACACAAAGCTACATAGATCTCACCGAACCACACCAAACGGAACCAGTTATATCACATCTGTATCACTGAAAAATTCAGAAGGTCAATAGAAGAGGTGAGAACCAGGAGAGGAGTTAACATAACTTCAGATCACCATTAGCTGATAGCTGTCAAGATGGAAATGAAGCTAAAGACACACTAGACAACTGGGGAAACAGCATTACACAGGTCCAATACAGACTTCTTTCTTGATACCGACAAACCTAACGAATTCAATAAAGCTCTCAACAACAGGTTCCGAGCCTTGCAAGATTTACTGAACGAAGAAGAAACTACTATGGAGGACAACTAGGAAGAGATAAAAAAACACTAACTTCAACGTGTCAGGATATTCTGGACCGCAAGAAGTATGAACATAAGAAATGCAGCTCTGTGGAAATCCTGGACAATATTCAAGAAGGGAAGAATAAGAAGACATAGATTAACAACAGCCGAACAAGAACAGAGAAAGCCAAAGTACAAACTGAATACGCAGAAGCAAACAAGCAAGTGAAGAGGACCATTAGAGCCGATAAGTAGAAATACATGGAAACTTTTTAATGCAGTTTTGTTCTCCAGCTCAGAGAACAAAGCCCCATCAAAATCATGCACATGAGCTACAAATCTTCTCCAACATCTCAATACCTGGAAGAGCTAGCAACGGCAGCGAAAAACGCCTCAAGAGAAGGAAATATGAACCAACTGTATGACAAGACGAAGAAACTGGAAGGGAAATACAGTAGAACAGAGAAACCAGTCAAGTACAAAGAGGGAAAGCCAATCATTGAGACTCAGGAACAAAACAAGTGTTGGATGGAACACTTAGAAGAACTCTTGAATAATCCAGCTCCATTGAATCTACAGTACGTCGGAACGGCACACACAGACCTTCCGCTAGATGTCAATCCACCAACGACGGAAGATATCAGGGTGGCCATCAGACGAATCGAGAGTGGGAAAAAAGTAGAAGCTGACAATTTAATTATTTGTTTGAACACATAAATATTGGTACAAGAGAGCGCTAATATATATGCGCCACACAAAACAATGAGAATCTAAGGGGAAGGAAAAGAAAAAAAAGAGAATAATAACGAAGAGATTGATGTAAGGTGGTGTAATAAGAACAATGGTAAAAATGGGGGAACCGAAAGGTACAATCAGAAGAAATCTTTCAGTTAAGGAAGACACAACCACTTTTTTCTAATGAAGAACGTAAAAGAAGGTTAAAGCAGGATCGCCACTGGCTTCTATTCTCAGCCATATCTGATAACGTCTCTAGCCACTGTGTCGCACCATCTCTCGGATCCCAGTCAGGGAGTCGTGAAGGACCAACAGAAGCCAGTCCTTTGCAGCTTTCTTTGATGCCACGACACCATGTCATGCACTGACTACCTCTCCGCTTTTTCCAACTAGTCCCAGAGTCGGCAAATAATGCACGACGTGGAATTCTCTGGGACGACATTCGTAGAACATGTCCAAGACACCGAAGTCGGTGTTTCAAGATGGTGACACCAATTGCATTATCATCTCTGTGCCCGAACACACGATGCCGAACCTCTGCATTACTGACATGGTGTTGCCACTGGATGTCAGCAATGCTTCGGAGACAACGATGATTAAACACAGAGTCGTCTAACGTCCTCAACTCGGAGAGGCTAGGTTTCACAAGCATAGAGCAAACCTGCTCTCACCGACGCTTTGTAGGTCCGACCTTTTACAGCCAGACTAACATCACGAAGGCGCCAAAGGTGACCCAGATTGGCATAAGCCGCTCTGGCTTTCACTATCCGTGCATTGATCTCATCACCCACATCCCCACCACCACTTATGCAGCTACCCAGATACCCGAACTTCTCGACTACTTCTATCTGCTCACCATCCAGGGTGAGTGCAGGATTAGAATCCTGCCAGTCTTGTAGAAGTACTTTGCACTTAGAAGGTGCAAAGCACATACCATACCTACGGACACTGATGACCAACTGATTAAGTGCGGATTGCATGCCTTGGGCATTATCGCACAGTAAGACAATATCATCCGCATACTCAAGATCGAGAAGTCTTTCTCCAGGCAACAGATCCACACCACCATTACTTACATCCATCAGAGCTGTTTCCAGAATGTCGTCGATGGCAAAGTTGAAGAGGAATGGTGAGATTGGGCAACCCTCTGTAACCCCACTGCTCGAATGGAACAATGGAGGGAGGTGGTTGTATGCCCTCACTCTGCCTGAGGTGTTTGTATATAGGGCTTTTAGGATGTTAGTAAACTTCTCAGACACACCCTTCTTCAATAGACAATCCCAGAGAACAGTCCTATCCAACGAATCGAAGGCAGCCCTGATGTCAAGAAATACTACGATTGTTGGCCTTTGATAAGTATGGCGGTGTTCTAACAATATACCAGCTGAAACACAGAAATAAGACATAGAAGCAACTGCAAACATGCTCCACGTTCTATTCACGAAGATTTGAGAGCGAGAACGAGAGTCGATCGACTGGAAAGAAGGACACCTCATCAGGATACCGAAGAAACGAGATCTGAGCAAATGTGAGAACCACAGAGGTACCACATTTCTGTCAATACAAGGAAATGTTTTCGATAGAGTGTTGCTGAACCGGATGAAGGATTCAGTAGACGCCCGAATTCAACATCAACAGGTCGGAGTCCGTAGGTATCGGTTGTGCACAGACCGAGTCACGACATTACGGATCATCGTTGAACAAGCAACTCTTCACCAGACACCAACTTTCTTGACTAAGAGGTGTTTGACAGAGTGTATAGCAGAACCTTATGAAATGTGCCTGAGAAGATCGTCAACATCATACGGAATTCATTCGATGGACTACACTAGGAAGTGGTACATGGAGACAGTTGACAGACGCATTCCAAGTGAAGAGCGGTGTCAGACAGTACTGCTTCCTCTCCCCCTTTCCCTTCTGATGGTTGACTGGATTACGAAGACCTCGACATCCGACGGGAAGCACGTAATAAAATGGACATGTTGGATGCAACCAGATGATCTGGATTTCGCAGATCACCTGGCCCTTCTATCCCATACACATCAACAAATGCAGGTCAAGACAAACAGTGAAGCAGCAGCCTCTTCAGCAGTAGGCCTCAACATACACAAGGGAAAAAGCAAGATCCTCAAATACAACACGGAGAACAACAATCCAATCACTCCTGATGGCGAAACTTTGGAAGATGTAGAATCCTTCACATACCTGGGAAGCATTATCGATGAACAAGGAGGATCTGATGCAGACGTAAAGGCGAGGATTGGAAGATTAAGGACAGCATTCCTACAAGTGAATAACATATGGAACTCAAAACAACTGTCAACCAGTATCAAAGTCAGAATCTTTAATACGAAAGTCAAG